ATGCTTTCTCCTCTATCTTCGTGAAAAGTATTTTCGACAGTATTAACCTGGGCATTTACCTGGAATTTTGGGTATTTTATTCCTTCTTTTTTAAGTATATACCTTAGCCATTTGAAAAATTTTACATTTGTTTTATGTTGTAACATGAATTTATTAAATTTTATATGAAAATTTTATTTTTATCTTTCATTAAATTCTGGAAGGAACCATTCTCGTATTTGTTTATTTTCATCAGAGAGAAAATCCCTTTTAACCCATTCTTTATCTATGGTAAAGTCATCTTGAGTTTGGATTGTCAGAATTTCAAAATCAAATTCGGACATAGTAGGTTCTTCTTGCTCAGTTTGGAAAGAGCTGGGAGTATTCACAGTATAGACAGGGTGTTGAACCTGGTTCTCTGTTTTCCTTAAACTTTCAAGAATAATTCTATCATTATGAGCCCTTTCATAATTAGACAGAGGTATAGAAGAAGTTGAACTTCTAGGAGGAATTCTAGAAGGAATTCTCATAACCACATTCGAAAAGGCAGTATTTGAAATACTTATCCTTGTTCTTCTGGAGGATGGAAATTGGATTTCTATTTCTCCATTAGGATATTCTACAATTTGTTCTGGCTCAGTATTTTCAGGAGTTGGTAAACGGGTCTCAGATTGCAGAGACCAATTTTCAAGTAAATTTATCTGTTTCCAATATATGGATTTTGGTCCCATGGATGGTCCTACCAAATTTCTGAAGATAATTTGGATCGGTGGGATTATATTCCAGAACTACAACAGCGGATTTCAATTAAATGGTGGGATGCCTACAAAAATGATTCTCTGGAGCCAGAGAAAATTTATATGAAGGCCATTCCAAATTTTGCGCCACATTCTGACATAGGATTCTCTGCATACATTTCACTAATGCAACAAAAGAATCCAACTCTTTCAAAAGCCGATATTAGAAAAAGACTAGTCTTTGCCCTTGAAGAAGATGGAAGTTCAAAAAACACCCACCTTATCAGAAAATGATGACCCTCCAAATGGAGACGACTGTGCGGGAATATTTTGCCCAGTAGATTGAAAAAAGGAACAGGGGCGGGACGACTTCAGACTCTCTAGGACACGTGTCCCCAGAGAAAACAAAAAAGCTCTACAGGAAAAATAAATTATTGCCGATAAGACACTGTAGAAGAATCTTTTGCTTTTTCTTCTTAAAACACATCTTTACTGTTACTTTGTCGGTGCGTTACTTTTCTTTTAAAGCGCATCTTTTACCTTTACTTTTACTTTGTCAGTGTGAATCTTATCTTTGTTGGTGCGGATTTAAAAACGTTTGAAGTCCGCCCTCCCTCTTCTAAAAAAGGGAACTCAAACTAAAGGAAAAGACACATTCGGATAGAAAAGTTGCAAAGCTTACTGCAATAAGTCTTCTTAAGAGTCTTAGGTTGAGTGCTTTGTAAGAGTGTGTTGTGTGCTTTGTAAGAGCGTGCTTCTCTATACATCTTCTGGTTATCTATTATCACGACTACTATCCATGTAAGTGCCTGACCCTAGCTCTCTGTTTCTATATATGAATTCCATGTTTTTTGTCTATTACTCTCTTTTATATTACTCTCTTTTATTATTGTCTACTATCTTTGTATCCACTTCCGCTACTTTTATATTACTCTCTTTGGGTCTTTGAGACCCGTTTACCAACTCCAGAAAATACTGAGCCAGAACAAATTGTAGAATATCCTAATGGAGAAATAGAAATCCAATTTCCATCCTCCAGAAGAACAAGGATACGTATTTCAAATATTGTCTTTTCGAATATGGTTCCGAGAATTCCTCCTAGAAGTTCAACTTCTTCTATACCTCAGTATAATTATGCAAGGGCTCATAATGATAGAATTATTCTTGAAAGTTTAAGTAAAACAGAGAACCAGGTTCAACACCCAGTCTATTCTGTGAATACTCCTAGCTCTTCCCAAACTGAGCAAGAAGAACATACTATGACTGAATTCGATTTTGAAATTCTGACAATCCAAACTCAAGATGACTTTACCATAGATAAAGAATGGGTTAAAAAACAAAATTTCTCTGATGAAAATCAACAAATAAGAGAATGGTTCCTTCAAGAATTTAATGAAAGATTAAAATAAATTTTTACTATAAAATTTAATAAATTCATGTTACAACATAAAACAAATGTAAAATTTTTCAAATGGTTAAGGTATATACTTAAAAAAGAAGGAATAAAATACCCTGAATTCCAGGTAAATACCCAGGTTAATACTGTCCAAAATACTTTTCAAACTTTTCACACAGTTAAAAGAGAAAGCATTGAAGCTATCCACCCTCCTAAAACTAGCTTACAGTTGAAAGGAGAAAAATAAGAAATAAAAGCCTCACCTTTCAAAATTGGACCAAACAATTCTGAAAGCCAGATGGCTAAAATTGAAGCTATACCCCACATAATAGACCAGAATAATTATACAAATCACTTCCTACAGACCATAGGAAAACAAACTAATAGGATAGAAAATGTCCTAAACACAATAAAACCTCAACACCAGGAGAAGAAAAAAGAAAAAGAAAAGGGGGCAGTTTTATTCAAACCACTGCCTAGTATTGCGGCAGGAAAATTCAACCTACAGGGAATAAAAAAGAAAGAGGATAATAAAGAATTAGTAAATGAATTGGTCAAACGACTCGAAAAATTAGATATAAAAGGAAAATCTGGTGATGTACAAGTCCTCCACGAAGATAAAAGTTTTTCAAATCTAGAGATATCTTAAATAGCAAAAGCTTTTAAATCAGAAAGCTTAGAAATTAATAGAATAGATTATGGGAGAAAAACTAAGCTGGTTGCACCAACCAGAATGTACTACCCTAGGTCAACTCCTTTAGATCTTTAGATAGAGGAAGACCTAATTGCCAGTTCAGTTTCCTATTCAAGAAGGTCCATAGTAAATTGGAATATAGATGGGATATCTGAAAATCAGATTTTTGATCTTATGAAACATATGACCATGTATGCCACTGCATGTAAAGCAAGTGGGAATTAATACCATGAAATTGCTAAAACCATTATATGTGGATTTACCGGATGGCTTAGAGGATGGTGGGATTTCCGCATGAATGACGAAGCCAAGATCAAATTCTGAATGCTATTAAACAATATAATATAAAAACTGAGGTCGGACCCTGACAGGTCCTAGAAAATTTGATGACCGAGGGAGATGCAGTAAACACCCTAATTTATACCATTACACTTCATTTTGTGGGAAGTACGACCCTCTTATCTGCTAGATCTGAAGATTTACTCTCAAACTTACG